GCGCTGTGCCGCGGAGCTGAGCGTCAGCCGCGGGGACCGACTCTACGCCCTCAAGGAGGAGGGCGCCTACATCTTCGCCCGCCGGCTCTCAGGCCCGCCCAGCGCCGGGCTGGTGCCACTCTCCTACGTGGCTGAGGCTGCCTGGGAGACGCCAGCAGAACAACCGTGAGCTCCTGCGCCGCGGGGCCGGAGTAGGCAGGGTTCGGGTGGGAACTACACATCCGCTTTCAAGGACCTTTGTCACTGCCCCTGGACGCCAGGCTGAGCAGGCAGGAGTGGAGGCAGACTTGGAAGCCGGGGTACTGCCCTGCTGGTGTAGGGGACGGGCTGCAGGCAGGGCAGGTCGGCAGGTCTGCGGGGAGAAACCCAGCAGGGCCTTTCTCCCGGAGGCCTCCGTTCAGGCTGCTGCTGGAAGGGCAGGGGTGGAGGTGCCCGGGCGCCGGGCACGTGCTCCTCCAGGGGCTCCTGGTGGGGACCCAGCTCACGCGCCTGTGCAGGGGCCCCTAGGGCTGGGAGGAGCATTAAGCCAGGCCAAAGCGGACTCACCAGACCACCCCTCACTGGTCCAGGTGTGGAGCAGATGGTTTGTCTGGAAACAGGGGCACAGGTGGGGAGCATCCCGCCCTGGGCGGGAGGGGTCCACTGGCAGCAGGTGATCTGTGCTGTGGCCTGAGGCACGGTTCTCTCCTAGAGGTGTTCTGAGTGATGCCAGGCCACAAGGTCTCCTGGGGTCTAGGAAGGGCCCAACACTCCTGTGCACCAGCCCAACTGGGCAGTGCTAAGTGGTGGACAGTGCAGAAGCCTCGAGTATTTGACTCAAATCCTGGGACGTGGCCCCTGCTTGCCTCTCAGCCCAGATGCTGTCGTTGCTGCGATCCTACTGTCACGATGGGCAAGTCCTGCTCAGTGCCTCCCCCGGGAAGGGCCTCACAGCAGGGCAGGTTGAAAGCTGGTGGGTAGCAAGTTCAGCTGGCTCCTGCTCCTGCTCCCAGTTGGTGCACACCTCTTGAGCCCTGGGCCTGCCTTCTGCGGAGCAGCTGCCGTCTGAGCTCCCTCAGAGCCCCCTCAGTGTCTTGGGGGCCACGATGCTCATGTGTAATGGGGGCTTTCCTGTGAATTTAAGGCTGGAGTCACAGGAAGCATCCTTTGAGGGGGACTTCAGGCCTTTGCCATGGCTGCCAGCAGCGGTCATAGTGAAGAGGGGCTCGAAGTCAGCCAGATGTGGAAGACAGACCCTGCGTGGCTCCTGGAGGCTGCTGGCTTGGCAGACAGGCAGGCAGGCCGGGGGCGGGCAAAGCTGCCTGTGAGGAGACTTAATGACTACCTGGTCCCAGAGATGAAAGTGCTCCCGCTCCTGTACCATCAGCCAAACCCTGGCCCCACACCCCAGGGAGAGACCTGAGGCACATGTACAATGCAGGAAATGCACAGGAGTCGGTCTGCATCCTGCCAAGGGCCTGCTGTGGGGCTCTGGGAACAGCTGGGGCTGTCGGAGGAAGCTGCTCCACAGGCCCTTTATGTGACTCTCCCGATGGTGGGCCCAGAAGCAGGGGTTGTGGCTGCAGGAGGTGCTCAGGGGCAAGCAGACAGCTTCACCAGGCTGTGTCTCCAGATCCTTAAATGAGTTTGTTTACTTACCTGAGGCTGCTGTGCAGCCAGGTCTCGGGGACACACGTCCACCAGGGTTCAGCCACACACTTGGCACTCTCCCTCTCCAGCCTGCTTCTGGTGCATCTTCCTCTCTGTGCAACCCTCCTTCCCATCCCTGTGTCCAGCTGTGTCCACCCCTCCACCCCAGGTCCAGCCTCACACCCTGGCCTTAGCCCCCATGGTCTCCCTACCGAGTGGGCTGCTGAGTCACCCTGTGAGACTTCCGGGGCCCCTCCTAGCCCTGCTCCTAAGTGGTCTCTGTGATGACCCCCATTCCCCCGCCCCCGCTTAGTGTCCCCCATTTGGGTGGATACAGGGCTGCTCCTGCGTGGCTGTAATCCCCTGGGGTGGCGCTGGCACGCCTCACTCCCTGGAGGGTCCGGACATGGGAGGCTTGGCTGGGAATCTGGGCCAGGAGCCCTGTCTGGGCCTTGGGCAGCACACGCACAGTGGGCTGGGGCCAGAAATGACTCTTTCTTTCCCCAAGGGTGTCTCTGGCTCCCAGGTATGGGTGAGCCGCGGGTGGTGTAACTTAAGTGCGTGGTCCATCTGGGTAGAGGGACAGCAGGTGTGGGGCTCCTTGTATCTAGGTGCCTGAGGAGTGGGTGCCCAGGAGCCCCTGTCCCCATGTACACCCAGCTCAGCAGGAAGCATCTGGATGCGGCCAGGAAGCTCGAGACTGGCCCGCCCTGCCTTCAGAGGGGTGCAGATGCTTCGAGCCCTCGCTTAGAGTCCTTCCTTCCCCACCTTCCCTGCTGGAGACCTTTCCTGACCTCCTGCCCAGCCTGGACCCGGTGGCCTCCCTGGGGGGCTCCCAGCTTCCCAAGGCAGATGAACCACACCCAGCCAGGTGACCACGTCCTACCTGGCCACATCAGCAGCTCAACAAGCACTCCCGGGAAGATTGTTGAGGGCCCTGTTTCCCTGTGGACCCTCCACAGGGGTCAAACAAGTTTCAGATCTGATGGGTTCAGCATGTAATGAGGGCTAACCAGCCTGTGGCTGGGGCTGGGAGCTCCAGCGGGATCATGGCACAGCTGAGTAGAAAGGCTCACCTGCAAAGCTGGGTCAGCTCTGTGCTGGCCTTAGTGTCCCTGAGGGCCCTTGAGGCCAGCATGGGGACCTGAGACCCCAGCATGGGCACTGGCTCTACTTCTGTCTGAGTGACGGCAGGACAGCCGGGCCCCAGCACCTGGCCGGGGTCACGCAGGGCTAAGCCTGTGAGCTGACCGTGTTGCCTACTGTTTGCAGCTGGTACTTTAGTGGGATCAGCCGGACCCAAGCCCAGCAGCTACTCTTGTCCCCTGCCAACGCACCAGGGGCCTTCCTTATCCGGCCCAGTGAGAGCAGCCTTGGGGGCTACTCACTCTCAGGTACCTGGGTGGCCCTTGAGACTGTCCCTTCCCGGAGGGCGTCTTGCTCAGTCCCCACCTGGCCAGACACCCAGAGCACTGGCTGACGTGCTCGTCACCCCCGTCCTCGCCTCCCTCCCTTCCCTCTTGCTCCTTCCCCCCGTTCACTTATTCACAGACCCATTCATTGAGCAAGACTCCGTTGAGCACTTACTCTGTGCCCCCTGGCCTGCCCCTGCCCATACCCGCTCCTGCATGCAGCACTGGCCATGGCAGGGACTCCACAACCAGTCTGAGCCAGGCCACTGGGGCTATTGGGGTGGCGGTGCCTGGGCAGGCTGCTGCTGAAGCATCAGTGTCTATTTCTGACCCCCTAGTCCGAGCCCAGGCCAAAGTCTGCCACTACCGAATTTGTACAGCGCCTGGTGGCAGCCTCTACCTACAAGAAGGCCGGCTCTTCCCCAGCTTGGAGGCGCTGCTCACCTACTACAAGGCCAACTGGAAGCTGATCCAGAACCCCCTGCTGCAGCCCTGCATGCCCCAGGTGGGCCCCGGGGAACCTGTCTCAGTCCTCAGCCAGCTCTGGGCCCAGCCCTGCTTGGGTCCTGCATGCTCTGGTTGGGTCAGCTCAGCTCCCTGCATGAATTTTATCCCCTCTGAGGCTGGTGGAGGAAGGAAGGAGTGTGTGGGGTGCTACAGGGTGTGCCCCAGTCCTGGGGGAGCAGGAGCCAGCCTCGGGGAGGCACCCATAGCTGCTGCAGGCCTCAGGGGCAGAAACTGTGGGCGGAGACGCTGATCCCTAGAGCCAGCCTCCTGATCTCTGGGACTGTCCCAGGCAAACTAGCAGGGGCTGGGCAGCAGTCCGGCTTCCCTGGTCTTGTAATGACAGCCCAGCCGGGGGTAGTAATGAGTGCTTGTGGACGGATATCCGGCTCGGGCAAGGTGCCACTTAGGTCCCCGAAGCAGTTAGCTCCCACAGCTCTGGGTCCTCCTTCCTGAGGTCAGACTGGTTCTCCTTTATCCCAGCCTGGGCCTGGTGAGTGTGTGCTGGTTACAGAGGTGCTGAGGACTCCACTGGGGCTCTGCCCAGGACAGAGGGAAGGCAGGGCCCTGCTGGGAGTCTGCTCTGCCCAGCCCGCTCACTTCTCGGTGAGCAGCAAGCGGAATCCTGTACCCCTTCTCCCCACAGAAGTCCCTGGCCCAGGACAGGTGGGAGCGGCCGCGCTCGGAATTTGCGCTTCGGAGGAAGCTGGGCGAAGGCTGCTTTGGGGAGGTATGGGAAGGCCTGTGGCTGGGCTCTGTGCCCGTGGCAGTCAAGGTCATCAAGTCAGGTGAGGCTTTGCCAGCCCTAAGTCTTCTAGCTGGGCCTGGGCCAGCACCCTCTGACCTGGGGATGTCAGGGGCAGTGGTGGCCGGTGGCCTGGGCGGCCCTGGAGCAGAGTCCTCTCCTGCAGCTGACATGAAGCTGGCTGACCTCACCAAGGAGATTGAGGCTCTGAAGAGCCTGCGGCATGAGCGGCTCATCCGGCTGCATGCGGTGTGCTCCACGGGGGAGCCTGTGTACATCGTCACCGAGCTCATGCGCAAGGGCAACCTGCAGGCGTACCTGGGCAGTGAGTACCCTGCCGCCGCTGCCCTGCAGCAGCCCCTCTGGGCCTGGCGATGTGACATTTGGCCTGGGCTGCTCATACTGGTCCCTGCCAGACCTACAGCCAACAAGGGTTGGGATGAGGGGGTCTAGGCCAGTCTTAGGCTTTGCCACTGTCAGAGCCTGGTCCAGGGCTGGGGCAGAGTCTGGGAGTGATATGTGATACGGGGGGATATGTCCCATTTGGGTCACTGTGGACCCAGCCAGCCTCAGGATACCCAGCCACTCTCTGGTCCTTCTCTGCCCTGGTCTCCACTGGGGGTCTGAGCTGGCAGCTAAGAAGCAGGTCGCATTGAGAGGTCACAGTGGTGGCACAGGATGCCTCTTCCTGTCTCGCTCACTGCCCACTGTGGCCTCTCTGTGGACACCAGCCTCACTCCAGCGTGGAGACGAGGAGGCAGCCCCAGATGGGCTGAGTTGCCTGGGTAGCACCAGCCTTACTGACCTCCGCCTGGCCTTGCTGAGCTCTGGCCCTCTGGCCCTTGGCCACTGAGCCCTCTCCCCTGCAGGCCCAGAGGGCCAGGCACTGAGCCTGCCTCTCCTGCTGAGCTTCACCTGCCAGGTGGCTGAGGGCATGAGCTACTTGGAGGAGCGGCACGTCGTCCACCGAGACCTGGCCGCCAGGAACGTGCTCGTGGACGATGACCTCACCTGCAAGGTGGCCGACTTTGGTCTGGCGCGGCTCCTGAAGGTCAGCAGGGTGGAGGGTGTCCAATCTTCTGGCCCTGGGGAGGGGGCTCCTCGCTCTGCCCACTGCCGACCTCCCCTTGTCCCAGGATGACATCTACTCCCCGAGCAGCAGCTCCAAGATCCCTGTCAAGTGGACAGCTCCAGAGGCGGCCAATCATCGTATCTTCTCGCAGAAGTCTGATGTCTGGTCCTTTGGCGTCCTGCTGTTCGAGGTCTTCAGCTATGGCCAGTGTCCCTACGAAGGTGTGCTCCCAAGGGACCCAAGGCTTCACCCTGCCTGGGAGTTGCTGGCCCTGGGCGTGGGTACCAGGCCTCCAGCTGGCCAAGACCAGCTAGTGCTCTGGGAGGCTGGGCTGAGGAGGTCTCCAAAGCGAGCCCAGCCCTCTCTCTGGTGCCCTCCCCAGGGATGACCAACCATGAGACGCTGCAGCAGCTCAGCCGTGGATACCGGCTGCCCCGCCCAGCTGCCTGCCCAGTGGAAGTGTACCTGCTCATGCTGGAGTGCTGGAAGGGTAGCCCTGAGGAGCGGCCTGCCTTTGCCATGCTGCGGGAGAAGCTGGGCACTGTCCACAGGCACCTGCACCTGGGTCTCACATGACTGGGGCTCAGACCCAGGGTGGCCCTGAGGTTGCTGCTGTGCTCAGGGCATCTCCCAGGACAGTGCTGGCCATTAACACACAACTCGGGTGCCACACAGCTAGGAACCCTACTGGCTTCCGGGGTCTGGCCTTGGGCCTCCAGCGCTGACATGGCCACACGTGTGTGCACAAGGTGGACACGTGGGCCGTGCTTGGCCCAGACACGCACCCAGGCAGCAGTGGGGCTGATGTTCTCAGCCCTGTGTGGAAGCACCGAGGGAGAAGGCCCCTGAGCCCAGAGGCTGCCTCCTCTTCTGAGCCTGCCTCTCCCTGGGCCTCCCTGGCTCTTTCCTGGGGTCATAGAGGAGAGGCCAGTTTCCCCCGTCACACTGCTGCAGCTCCCAAGCAGGTCCTCAGCACATGACGTGCACACGCGGGCTCAGTCCTATGATCCCAGGCACTGCCAACCAGCAGCGCTCAGTGAGTTCCGACACAGCCTGTGCACCAGAACTGGATGCTGGAGCTGATGGGGTCTCTCCTGGCTAGCAAGGTGGGAGGGAGAGCTGCACCCCAGCCAGGGCCCATGGTGCCCAGAACGGGCACAGTGTCCGGGGAGTCGGCAGGACCCAGCAGAGGCAGGAGCCGCACGAACAGCCCTTCTGTCTCCCTGGGCCTGGCTGGAGCTGGCAGCTGGGATTGAGGCAGGTGGGCTGTGTCAGGCCACAGGAAGGGAAGGCTGGGTGGCCTTTGGCTGCGCTATTCCATTTCCAGGGCAGGACCTGCATTTCAAAGTTGGTGCTCAGAATGGGCACTCGTTGGGAGGCAGTTTCCTGGCTGGCAGATTAGGGCAGTGGATGAGGAATGCAGAGGCATGCTGAAAACTAAGTGACAGGTGGCTCTCTGGTTAGAAGGAAAGCCCCAGCTGGGTCACACTTGCATTTTGGGTGTGACCCTTTGGGAGTGAGGTGTCAGGCAGAGTGTGAAGTTGGCCCTTGATCAGCCGTCAGAGGAGGATGGCACTTCCTAGCTCCACGTGGAGGACTTGACCCTGAGTGCTGCGGTGCTCAGGGGTGAGGTCTAGAGAGGGGACTGGGTCATGAGGGCGCTGACCACACCTCTGGATGGACCACCGCAGAGTGCATGGCTCGGTGGCCAGTCAGGCTCTTGGCCTGTGGTGGGAAGTCAGTCCTGGGGCGCCCCCATCAGCCTGGGTGGGTCTGGAGCCTTGGAGGTGGCACCAGCCCCTGTGCGGGGTGGGGACAGAGTGCTTTCATCTGAGCCTTTGGAGGCTACTGCATATCCCCAGCTCCTTGTCTCGGACTCTGCCTGTCAGTTCCCTGGATGCCTTGAGATGGGCAGCTCTCCTCTGCCACATTCTTCACCCTGAGGTTTTTGCCTTGAAGCCAGCCAGCCATGAAAGGAAACCGAAACTGAACCAAAAGAAATCTTCCTTCCTCTAAGCTTTTCGTGGCAGGTATTTTGTTTCGCAGAGATGAAAACTAACTCATACTGTTGTGTATATCAGGTGTTTTGTCCCAGCAACAGGAAGATGATGACTATACAGCCCCCCACCCCGGGGGTCGGGGAGTCTTTGTTCAGGGTCCCCAGAGACCCTGCCTCCACCTTCCTGGGAGTTCTTTGGCAGCTGTATCCAGGAAGTTGGCGGTGGGGACAGGAAGGCGTTCCCAGCCCATTGTCCCCTCAGGAAGTGGAGTTTAGGGTCAGTGCTGCCCCATGGACATCAATTTGTTTACAATCGCTGACCACAGGGCTTGCCTGTGGGCTGGCACAGAGGGAGCTTGGAATTGCACCCTGTGTGCAAAATGACCCCAGGCAGAGGGAGGCCAAAGGCAGGGGCAACACCAGGCTGCAGCTCCTGCTGGAGTGGGTGGGGAGCACCCCCTGTGATGAGCACAGAGGGGTTTGGGCTGAGCCTTCTGGGGCCACACCTCTGCCTTGCCCAGTCCTGGAAGGGTACGAGAGGAGGCAGAGAGGTGCGGCCTTTACTGAGCAGGCCGGCCCAGGAGCTCCTCTGGTGGCCTTCCCAGTGCTGTCCCAGCTGCTGGAAGGGCTGCCACGTTTGCAGCTGGATGGGAGGGAAGGAATGTGCTGGGGCTGAGGGCTTATCTGTGGGCCCCTGCGCATTCCTGGGTGTCTCGTCATCCACAGGCTGAACAAGTTTGGCCCCCCGGGTCTCCAGGAGGGGTGGGGACTTTCCTGTTTCCTGGTGTGGCTTAGAAAGAAGCACCCACACGCCTGTGGGTCCCCTAGACACAGCTGGAACCCAGAGACAGGGCTTGAGGACGCTGGAGCAGGCAGGAGCAGGGCCAGCCTGCCCTGAGCTCCTGGGCCTGAGCAGCCAGCGCCCATCTGGCCTGCATTCAGCCCCCCGCCTCCTGGTTCCTCCCCGGAGTCCTCCCGCCCCACCCTGGCCTGACTCTGTGCTCTAAGTCCTCCCCCACCTGGTGGGGGCTGAACTGTCTGGCCAGGGCATTTCAGATGATAATGGACAGGGCCACTATCTCTCTTTTCAGCGAAGTTTAGCTGGGACTGTAGCTCAGCGGTAGGTAAAGCACTTGCCTTCCATTCGTGAGGCCCTAGGTTCAATCCCTAAGACCCCAAAAATTAAAAAGAAAAAAAAGTTTTGGAATGAGCAGAGTCA